GAGCAGTGTGCCCACGGAGCTCCACGGCCGGCCCAGCTCTGCAGCTGGAACTCAGCACAGAAAGCAGCTCTTGCCAAACCCAAATCCTCTGTTCCACAATAAACACTTCTTTCGACAGAGGCAAGAACTGAGGAGTCTTCTTTGGGTTTTTGGAGGATGTTTGTTGTTGTTTTTGTACTTGGTGTTGTGTTTTTTTTTCAGGGCAGCATTAATGTGTGGCTTTGGAATACCAGTGGCTGAGGGAAAACCAAAACCAAATCTGGGGTTTCTGCAACAGATGGCTGAAAGGCCCAGCATTGATAATTGAGTAAATTACTGTGATTACACAAAATTGTTTCCAAACTTCCTAACATAACCTAACAGGGAGCACTTGTTTAGGACTAACTGGGATTCTGCAGCCAGGAGGAGACCCAGCTCGCTTTGCCAGCTCTGGCAGGAGATGCTGGCAAGGATCTGTGGCCCACAATGGTGAGCAAGGAGCCAGGGCAGCCGTTTGGGATGCTTCCCATCAACAGTTGCTTCTATGTTTCAGCCTCAGCAGGGTCAAGCCCTGTAAAGGGAAATGGCTCTGGCAATCTAAAAACCTGCAAGAGACTTTTGCAAAAAAATTAAGCAGCGTTTCAGTACCTCCCATTAAACCAAGGGCAAAGAGCCACCGTAACAAATCGTTTTAACAGGAACTGTGGAGCTTGTTTTGTGGTAAAAATTGCCACTGGCACTGGCAAAGCTGCCAGCTCTGTGGTCCCCACCGCTCTGGACGCTGCTGTGTGTGCACGCCAGGTCGGATCTTCAGGAAGCGTGTGAAAATCAGACAGCAAGAACACTGCACAACTGCAGACAGCTCTTCTGAGTAAGGGAGAAGGAGCAAACCCTCATCACTTGCTTTTTATCAAAATGGCTCGCTTAAAAAAAAGTCTCTTACCATTAAAAAATTTGATGATATCAGTGAAGTCCATGTTGTTATCGCGGATAATTTCTCGATAAACTTCCACAAGTGCTAAGGCAATGAAAAGGACAAAATGTTCTGAAGAGATGTGCTTTGCTGCCCAAATAACTTCCCACACTGTAAATACATCCTCGTACAACAATTCTGAATGGGAATAAACATTACAAGAGCATCTGATTATTCAAACTGACCATTGCCCCCTCTCTAACTAATGTCTTACAGGCCTTATGCTGACAGGAATAGCACTTGGTGACTCCTCCTTTCCCTCTCCCCCTCTCCTCCAGGCAGCTCCTGTCACTCACTTGCACAGGGACAGCAACAGGACTGGGGTTAAAGGGCCGTTCAGGAAGAACATAGGTGTGGAGGTGCCCCAGCTGCAGGAACCACGCGGTGCCCCCAGGCAGGACCAGCTGCCCTGAGCAGGGCTTCATGACAGGCTGCAGATCTGCATGTGCACCCAGGACCCCTTCTTGGCTCTGCAGAGGATCTACCAGTGCTAAAGCTCTGCTGGTTTTAGCTGGCAACAACGGACTCTACAGTCAGACGGGCTCATCTCCTGCCCTGCCAGTGCCAGTGAGGGCCAGGGGCTGGGCTCTGGGGGCAGGCACTTCTCTGAAGGAGCAGCTCCAGGGGTTACAGTTCCTCCCCCCTCACTGCCAGAGACTTGCTCATAATAGAGCTGCTGGATGTGTATCATCTCCCTCTGTCACCTTTGTGCTTTCAGGTGTCTGAGAGGGATGTCTTCTTTTGATTCTTGCAGATCAGTCTGTAACTCAAAGGGCCTCCTGGCTTGCCTGATAGTAAGATGGGTCTCTTGATGATAAGCAGCTCTTTTGTTGGTGTGGGTGGGTGTGCTCGTGAAGGGATCCCCAGATCCTGGGGTGCTCCCACAATACATAAAGTACCTCACTGAGCAGAGTACAACAGCTCCTGAGCTATTGCTGAGCTGCTCCTTTTTACACAATGGATTAGAAAGGAGGCATCAAAGCTTACAAAGGAGTGTGATCAACTTGGGATCACCTTTCTGAGCAAAGAGGCACTGAGAAGAAACTTGGCTCCAACCATCAGGAAATTACAACACTCCTTTCTAAGCTTTGACTTCACTCCAGCATTACCTCACTAGCTTTCCTAGCTACAAACTCTCCTGTGAGCCCAGCTGCTCCTCACCACCCAGACATCTAGCCCAAAACACAGAGCTGCTCACAGTTTTGCATAACAATAAACTGCAGGCACAGAACACTATTACCTCTTTTAAAGTCGAGCAGGAACCAGCGGTAGCAGAAGTAAAAGTGAGTGTAATCTCCATTCTGGTGCATCAGTTCAAAAAGCTCTGAGTCTAGAATCTAGAAAGAAAACCACCAGCTGTCAGCATCTTGTCTGAAAGTGGCCAGGATCAAAGGTGTTGGAGCCTGGCTGAGGTTTCCCTGCTGCTCTTTATGCCCCAGTCCTGTGGTTACTGAGCAGCTGCTCAGCACACAGAGATCCCTTCACTTTGTGTTTCCAGCAGGCCTGTGATGTGGGTGCCCTGGCACAGACTGAGGAGGTGAGGAGTTACTGCTCTGCAGGCACGAGAGGACAACATGAGTCTTCACTGTGAATTTAAAGGTCCAAGCAGCAAGTCAGAGATCCTACCAATTTTCAACAAGTGGCAAATTTTCATCTTCCCACCCAACTCTATTCTCAGATTGCACGACAGGAGATGGGGTGCAAAGACTGAACTCCATTTACCTGGAGAGAAGAAGGGAGAGAGACTTTTCCATCACGAGTTTGTAGTTCTGCTGAGCAGAGGCACAGTCCCACACTGCACCATCTAAGCACTCTGGAACTGAACAGCTCCTGCCCAAATGTCTGGTAGATGTCTTAAATGTCTCATGACATCAACAGCCCTTCCTCACAGATGTCACCTACAGGCTGCTGGATAAGCTGTGGCTCCTCCCACACTCCTGCTGCTCCACAGGACCCTGCAGCTGCCTGGATCTGCTGTCCTGCCCAGCTCCCAGCTTCACTGACCTCTGCTTGCATTCCTTTTTAATATGCCACCTATCAAACCGAATAATTACTTATCCTGAGAGTTTTCAGCTTTCTTTATGCTCATCTTGCTCAGGTGCCTGGTGCTTTCTGGAGTGGCCTTAAACCTGTCCAGAAAAGCCCTGTTCAGGAAGGGCCCAATGTAAATACAGTGATAGCTATGGGCTGTTTGAACCTGTAAGAAATCAAATCTGTGCCACAAGTATCAGTGTTTCCCAAAAAGCAGCTGACACTGGATCTTGCTGCTATTTCTCATTGACTTCAGTTGGTGCTGAGCCATAGATGGGAGTCATTACACTGTGTAGATGGTGTGGTGGAGGCAGACGTTTGGGGGGATTGTTTTCTTTATCAGGTTAAGACAAATCAACCTACTCTAATCCACACACTTCATCGTGACAGCAAATGCTGTCCCCTGAGAAGCAGGAAATCAGTTTGGGGCTGCATAAAACAATTCTTATCCTCCTCAGCTCTGAAGAACCAGATGATAGGAACCCCAGTCATTGGAGTCCCTGCCCTTCACTGTGGCATCAAGCTAGTTATGAGCCTCTGCCACAACCTCATCTTCCTTCAAATAAGATTTAAATGAACTCACTTGGATTAGGGATCGCATGTTGGCAAAGTGTGTGTCCATAGCACCTCCATTGGGGAAGTTCTGGCTCATCCTCTTCATCAGGTGGCTGAAGCAGCTGTAAGCCAGTTGATCTGCAGACACAATTCAGAACTCTCAGTGTTGCTAAGTGTGCCACTTCCCTGAAGCAAAATAATGATCTGCAGAGCAAGGGAAAAGCAGGTTTCCCCCTTTGCCGCTCCCTAAACCCACCTCCACTATTTAGATGATACACAAGACAGTACCTGACTCTGGACCATTTTTACATTTTCAAATTTCAAAAGAATCCAGCTTGCACTTGCAGTTGAGTTTTCAGCTTCTGCCAGAACCCAGCTGCTTTGAAAATGTAGTAAAATTTAATCTGGAAGTCAGGGAGTGAACTAATGGGGAGATACTAATGGTAGCCCTTTCAAAAGAGCCACATGTAGAGAAAATACAGATCAAGAGCTGCAGGTTTGGTTTTCCTGGTGAGCTGGGCCTGGCTAATGCACACAGCTTCTTCTGAAAGAGCATTTCTAAAGACAGACCTCCCTAGAGATACCAACACGTTCCAAAATTAAACCCTTCCTACCATTGTCAAGTATAACCATCAAAGGAGCCAGGAGGTCACACATGCCTTGAACATACCCAACTTCTAGGTGCTCCCAAACATAACTGCAGAAAGAAGAAAACACAAAAGAAATAGGATTAGAAATTCTCTTGCTGCATCGTGGCCTCTGAGATTTGTCTTGCCCCTAAGGTCAACTCCTTTTGGAAGCTTTTAAGTATCTTGTTCTAGAGTGCTGTAAAACAAAGCTAAAAGTCCAGAGAACTACAACTACTCAAATCTTCCAACCCACTGGTAAAAAATGACAAGTTTTTATGCTGTTTTTCTTTCAGGAAAATTCCTAAAGGCTTTATAAACAACCCGCAATGAGGAGAGAGCAGCATCTGAGGCAGGAGTATCTCCTCTTAGGTGACTCTTGCTGTAGGCTCCTCATGTGTTGTGAAAGGGTAAAATAATGTGATCAATTGTTTGCTTATTTCAGAGTACTTCACAGCCCTCTCTTGTTTTCTTCTTGGCTAGAGAAGACCATGCATGGCTCATTTATCAACAGTTTGTCAAAAAACCCCTAACAAAAGCAGAACAGTTCTTACAGGGAAAAAACCTGATTTGTAAAAGGTACCTGGGGTTTTTTTTGGCTTTTGTTGGCTTTTTTCCTGTTGCTGGAATCTTGGTACCTTTTCTTGAGTTCATTAAAGTCTACAACACTTTCTGCTCTAAGTGTTCAGCTGAACAACCTTCATGGCAACTGGCACTGCAAAAAGTGACAGCCAGGTTTCTGCTGATTCCAGCAGCCTGTCTGACATGGGTTTAAGATGCAGCCTTCCTGCCTGTGCAGTCCCCCAGCACAGTATCTGGGCACCTCACAGTTATTGTCATCCCTATGAAACATTAGAACACTTACAGATTATCTCCTAAGCAGGAAGCCAAAGCTAACAGTACATTTAGAGAATAGTTCTAAGTGACTGCCAGGGTCTGTCTCTTGAGGTGGAGTCTCTCAAGCCTACCTTCCAAACCTGGACACCAATCATACCCGTGGTCTCCAGCCTACCATCTGATCTGTTCCTCCTGCTTCCAAGTTTTAAGTTCATTAGTGAGAATTTTTATACAGACTGTTATTTTCATATTATCATGGTTTCTGGATTATGAGAGGTGGATGAAGAGCAGTTCAGTTGGCAAGCTGCACTACCTGCACATGACATTGCGGAGCTTCTCCAGGTTATCAGCAGTGAAGTACCAGTAGTTCCGATCACACCTCTGCACATCTTTATCAATTCTGTGCAAATTTAAGGCAACAGTGTCCAATAGCTCGATCTAGAAGAGAAAGGTTTTAGCTAGATGTGCTGAGTTTAGAATATTGCCAGGACTCTGTGCAGATTTGCTCTGAGAATCAACCAACCAGAAAATAGTACAGTCATACTCTGGGCACATGAGAGCACCTATATACTTGATTACTGTTAAAAATCCCAGGCAAGACACATACACTTTCACTGGTAAATGTTCCAAGCCTGTCCTGTTTCCAAAGAGTTATCTGCAGTTGAACAACTTCAGTAGAAAGGCAAGAACTTGACTACTGATCTGTTGACAGCAACACCAGCAGAGATGGTGGAGTCTCAAATCTAGATTTAGGTTGCTGTTCCATTTGGTTAAATGTGGGTTTTAGCTTGAATTAAATGACATTAAAATCTTACAAGTGGTGTCTTGTGCACACCCCCACACCTCCCCTCAGCCTCTGGAAATTTTTAGCTGCTAGAACTGTACCACATCCTTTTCCTTGCCCTCCCACTCAAAAAAAAAAAAAACACCATCTTTTTTTTGCTGGCTTATCACCCATCTAGCTCAAAGTCCAGATGAAGAGAGTCAGTAATCCTCAGTTATCATCCCACCGCCTGCAGTTCTGCTTCGGGACTGTCTCTCATTAAATCCTGTCTAAAAAAGTACAAGTCTTTGCTAGAAAAGCAACGCAGTGCAGAGGGATGATGACACAAATGCTGTGACCTACCGTGTAGGAGGCAGCACAGACAGAAGCAACGTCCATTAAATCATCTGCCTGGGGACAGAGCTGCTCTGCTGCCGGGGGCTCCTGGGCCTGCAGCACCGCGGGCTTGGCTTTCGGCACGCGCGGGGCGTCCGCATCCGTCCTCTCCACGTCAGGGCCAGCTTCTTCTTCAGCCCCATCCTCAAAGGAGACACTCTGCCCGTCATCGATGCTGGACAGGACGCCTGAGGCCACGGAGTAGTTCCTTGAGGAGGGCAGCCCAGAGTCGGGGGAGTCGAACTCCACAGACTGCTGCTCTGCAGCCGCCCCGCCCGGCGTGTCGGCGGCCAGCAGGGTGAGAGGGGGGTCGTCCTGGCCCCTGGGGCCCTGCTCCACAGGGTCTGCTTCATCAACAGATATAAAGACCTGGAGGTGGGCAGGGGAGAGAAGATTCAGATAAAACAGGGAGAAGAGAGAAGCATGAAACATTAGTGTAACAAACCTCCAGCCACTAGAGAGAAATGATTCAGTAACACGGTCACTGAGCAGTAGAGCTTCCCTGCATGCAGACAGTTGGGGAAAGCTATTCCTCTGCTCAGAGAAGGAATAGCTTCCTTCTTCCACAGCAGGTGAACCTTAAAGCCCCTTGGGCAAGTCCTGCTTAAGAACAGCTACAGACTACCCAAAATACAGCCCTGCTCTTGGCTCCCTTGGGGCAGCACTGCAGCTTCAGGTTCCATCCAGGATTCACGTAGCTCCAGACTGATGGAGCTGTGCTAAGCCAGGCCCACGCGGGACCCCTGCAGGCACCAAGCCTCCCACCGCCCCGGGGGGCGTGGGCAGGGGCACCTACATCGTTGCTGATGGTGGAGTCCCTGTGGATCAGCCTCTGGACGTGGCTGTCGATGCTGCTGCCCGAGGAAAACTTGGCCAGCGTGGCAGAGTGAGATTCCTTCTCCCGCTGCTTCACAACGACCTCGCAGGCCTTCCACTCAGCCATGACCTTCTGGTACCGGAGAGCGACGTCTTCGTCCACCTGCAGACACAGACACACCCTGACAGGCCAGTCCTCCTCGAAAGACAGCACCAGCAATGAGTGGGCACCAGGAGGGAGAGCTCTAAAGCAAGGGTGACAGCTCAGACTGGAAGCCTGAAGGACCCCGAGTGCCTCTTGCCAGAAAAGCTTCATGCCAGCCTGTGCAACCAACAGAGCTTTGCCATCCTTCAGGGGAGAACAGAAGATGTCACTGGCTTTCCTGTGAAACCTCACGAAGATTTCAGCCACACTCTGACAGAGCAATTGCTGCCTCTAACTGGACTACTCCTAATTTCATTACACCTTCTTCCTAACTCCTTCTCTGTTCCAGCTCTAGCACAGTCCTGGCAATGAAACCCAGGTCGCAGGGTTGCAGACATCAGCCTGTACAGAGTTAGGTGCTGGGGGAGGCTCCTGAACAAGCCCAGCTCCCAGAGCTCAGTCTTGTGGCTGCACTGTGCATGGCCAGATCCAACCACTCTGGTTCCCATAGTAATAAAACAGATTTTTGCCACTGCTGGCTTGAAAGAGACACAGAAGCCCCCCCTTGAGCTATTAAGGGACATGCAGTAATTTTACTACTCTGTCACTTGTCAAGAGCTGAAGAGAAACCACAGTAGTGAGTTGGCTTCAGGCTCTGGGCTCTGCTGTGTGGAGCTGCTACCAGAGCACTCATGCTAAGACCTGCAGGCTATTTGTCACTCGAGGTAGCTGTCGAGCCATAAATCATAAAATACAACAGTTAGTGGAAGGCTGGAGGACAGCCACATTTGGGAGTGCCCCAGATACTGATGGATGACTGCAAAAATATCATCAGAAGGCAAAAAGGATAATCATCTGTGATGAGCTTGGTTAAGGACACGGCAAGTCTCCTGCGTGTGCAAATGTTGTGACTCTTTTCCTGTGATTAATTTAATCAACTCTTACATTCAGTGGTGAGCTTTAGACCTGGACAGCTCATTTCTTTGAGGAGTTAGGTATTACTGATATTTACAGCTAGTGCAGAGCAGCTCATTACTATTCCAGATAAGGTTTGGAGCACCCCTGTGTTAGTGTAAACCCCCAGCCCTGAATGAGGGTTGGCAGATGGATGATGTCCACAGCCAGGCAAGAAAGACCCCACGGACTGGTTTTCACCCAGGGCCTGGCCAGCCTTGGGTGGGAACTGATGAGGAGATCCCCACCAGGTGCCCCCACCTTTCCCATTAACCTGGAGGTGGGGCAAGAAGCCACCTCTATAAGAGCTGACCCTGCTTGCAGGGGGGCTGGTTACACAGCCCATGTGCTGTGTGAGGGTTCTGGCTGCTGGAAGGGCTCCCTGATTCTTCACAGCAAGTGGAGCTCCCAGGACAACAGGGCCAGAACACGAAGCTGTCTCTGAGTCCCTGCTCTAGAACTGGGCTCATGGCCTGGCTGCTGCCATCACCCACAGCTTGGCTCATTCTCCCTTCTTCATCTCCACTGTGGTGGGTGAGTGCAGGGACTTGTTCCTCCTCTGCTTGTCTGGCACTTTGGATCTCTGGGGTGGGATGTGGTAGCATGGGGAGGAGTTTGGCTGCTGGTCTGCCTGTTAGTGATTAGCTCACTCTATACTGGGCAAGTGGTCAGCAGAAGAGTTAGCATGGTACAAACTTGGGCAAAAAAATCTCTCTGAGAGCATTTCTGCAGATCAGATATCTCATACCTTGCAACACATCTTTATGAATTTACTGTAATTCCTATTGTACAAATGGCCCCAAGTATTTATCTCCTCTGAGAGCATTTCTGCAGATCAGATCTCTCATACCTTGCAACACATCTTTCTGAATTTACTGTAATTCCTGTTGTACAAATGGCCCCAAGTATTTATCTCTTCTTGCCAAATCTCTGATATTCTAGCTGTGTATACATGTGTGCCCTCTGAAGCTAGGGCTAGAATCCATGAGTTGTGGCTCCAGATCTGCCACTTTTGAAAGCTAGGTATCTAGGTCCTTTTTTCAGTTCCAGACATACTGTCTGTGTCTACATATGGACCATAGACCTGATGGTTCATATATCTGTGGAGAACAGAGACAGCAAAATGCAACCTATGCAAGCAACCTCCAATATCCTGTGTTTCTTAAAAATTTTACTTTAGAAATAAAAGAAGAATGAGTGGAGCACTAAATACTAATGTAGTAAATTCACACTGCATCTAGAAGTGCTGCAGTTCAGCCAGATCACTGCTGCTGAAGCTCTGCACCAAATTCACAGAAGGGGCCCTCCCTTTTTCACCAATTGTTTTCACCAGAAATGAGCTGTGGAACAAGCCCACATTGTGCTGTAGGAGGAATTATTTTTTCAGCTTGTACTGTTTGCAGATAAGGGGTGACTGAACAGTCCCCTTGTAGAGCAGATGTACTTTCCAGCAGGACTATGGAAATGCATCAGCCTGGCTGGATATCTGGATTTGCTTCTCCTCAGAGGAACTTCATCTTCTTCTGATGCTCATGTCATGGGAGGGCAGGAATTTGCCCCAGCAGAACGTTCTTGATGTACACATTAAAGCCCAAAAACTTAAATACAAATACCTACAAAGATGACTGGATTCAAGGAGAAGAATCCACATTATGACCCAGTTTGATCAGTTGAGGGGTGCATTTCTCCATCCATGTTCAGAACTGGTTTATAAAGATTAGTGTGAGGAAAAACAAGTGAGATTGCTGCAGTAATATTTACTAAGAAGAATGCTGCTTATGAAGTGCCTGCTGTTTGCAAGACAGCTGATTTTTTTCATGGCAAGGCTCTAGCTCAGGCTGCCCTTCTAATCTGCAGGAGCTCACAGGGATACAAACTATGCCTTGGAACACAAAATAATTGGGAGTTAACAAATGCCAAATGTTTTGATATACAAACTACCCCTTATCCCTTTAATCCAGAACAGGATCAGCTACTGCAGGAGTGCTACCTCCCTGGTCATAACACCAACAGAAAAGCAGATTAATGTGTTAATTATATTCCAGGGCAAACCTCATTACTGTTCTAGTTCAGCAAACATTCAGGTGATTCTTAATGTCAGTTAAAAGCAATGTTTCACCAACATCCAGATCCAGACCTTGTCCCCAGGGCAGTGTCCCACTGGAGCCCTGAGGCTCTGCAAAGGAGAACATCCCTTTCCTGAGGAGCTGAGAGACCAGTGCTCCCACTACACACAGGCCTAAGGACTGCAGGAGACCTCTGCAGCCAGCAAAGCTCTTGCTCTGCACAGGAACCAGCTCTACAGCTGCACTGTGGCAGGAACGTGGCCCTACAGTGCATCACTCCATGGAAATACACTGGCTTCACTCCCATCACTGAGTGAAGGTGTAACTCTGCCATTTCATCTGGCCCTGTCTGCTTGTTACCAGCCTGGTTTGTAGGCAAGGCACTTGCTCAGTAATTACAATAAGTGGAAGCACTCAGCAAAGTAAAAAGTTGATACTGCTATAAACAGATTAGCAAAGGGAAATGCAATAACTAAGAGATGGGCAAACTGTGGTCTCATTAATGGAAACTATATACTTAATGCCAAGTTTCAGACTGCCAAATAAGGCTGTGACATAACCTGGGCAATTATTCATGGATCAATGCTGGCAACAGCATGGGGGATGTTAGGAGGGACAATGTCTCATCTGGAATTGCACCTTGTGTTTTACAGAGCCATGCTTATTTAAGTCTAGCAAAAGCATAATGAACTTGTAACCCAAACCCTCCTCTGGGTATTTTTAGCCTCTAGGCAGTAACCCCAAGTGCACTTCAGAAGATGCATCTGGGCTGCTCACAGCTCCAGCAGAAGCCCACACATGCAGTATCATGTAGATAAAGCAGTTATTTCACAGAGCATTTTGCAGCAGAACTCAGCTGACACACCATATAAAAGAGGGATGACTCCAATTACTATCCAAATGTCAATGGCTCCCTATTTTATAAATGACAGATCTGTGAAAGCAGGATTTGCTTGGGGCAAGTATATGTCACAGGCAGAGGCTGAATGTGGGTTTCCTGAGCTCAGTAAAGAACTTCCTTTTAGAGTTTTCAGACATGATAGCATGGTATCATCATCCCTCTACTAACATGGGTCACTCAGGTTGTCAGCAGCGTTTTTCCCTCGGGAATATTAAGCAGTAATGAAGACTAACACTTGCTCTTCAGCAAACAAACCCTGTTCAAATGTACTCCAGATCCTTGGGAAGCTGTGCTTACCTGGTCCATTTCCTTCTTGGCCATGCCAAATTTATAGTGGCCTAACAAGAATGGCCACACTTCCTTCCGAATCTCGTGCTGAACCCCGCCGTAGTAAACTCTTCTCAGCAATTCCAGCTCCTTGTAGTTCTGCAGCAGTCAGGAGGAAGAGGTATTGAAGGCAGCACAACTTTACTTTCCTCAGGCATGCTCATAGACACTGAACACCACGTACAGAGACAGAGATGCATGCACAGCACTATATACATTTTGCAACTTGATTTAAGCCTTTAGGGCCCTATCTAGGCTATTGAGGCTGTAGTCTAGTGGTTAGGGAAATGTTGGGATGCAGACAGGACTTGATGATCCTAGAGGTCCTTTCCAACCATAGTGATTCTATGATCTCAAATCCACTCTAACATAAATTGTTGTGCCTCCCAAGAAAATAATCTAAATTTTAATAGACCAGAGTCATCATGAGATCAGTTGCTTTGATATCCTTCCATTGCCAGAGAAGCAAAGGGCAAAAGAGACAGTAAGAACTGGCTGACTCACTGGGAAGAGAAGTGACCCTGTGAAGACTAGAGAGCACCTCTAACGCCTCCTGGGGTCTGCTCTAAGGGGCACCACGCTCAGCACAGCGCTGGCCTAGCGCTCGGGAGGGTGTTCTGCTACTCACCTTCTTGTCCTTCTGGTACTTGCTCCAGAGCTCCTTGGTGAGGCCCCCCGTGGCACTGGAGGGCCTGTCGGGGGGCACGATGGTGTGGTTGACCAGGGCCGAGAGGTGGGTCCGCACCGTGGAGAGGTGGCGGCAGTAGGCCAGCCCTGGGGGGAGGGGAGGGTCAGACAGCAGCCCCGGGGGGAGGGTGGGGCTGAGACATCCTAAACCTGCCACTAATGACCCTACTGCACTAAGCTGGCCTTGTGCTGTGTGAGAACTGCAACAGAGCCAAAGGTAACGACCGTCTGACCCAGCCCAGTGAGACCCAAGCAGAGTATGGCACTGCAGTGTGAAGCAGCTCTGTCCCCCCCAAGCACCAGGTCACCCACTGCTCTGCAAACCCCACAAATAACAGAATTAGAGCTGTGGTACTTGAGTCACGTCCACCCTACTGCCCTGAGGTCATCTGACTGAACAATAAATTTAGGCTTAGAAAGCTTTCTGAACAAACATCACGTTTTTTAGATAAGCATATGGACACCACAAGGGCTGCATATAAGAAGCTCCAACTTACATCCATAAAAGGCTCTGGAAACTATTTGCCTCTTCATGCTTTCACACAGCATCTTTAATGGAGTTCTGTGGAGACACATTAACAGGAACATGACAGGTCATGAGGACAGATCACTGTGAATTTTGTGCTCACCTGACCTGCACATAGCAATTCTGTCTCTGCAGGAAGACTGATTTAGCTAAAGGACAACAATAATGACAAATTAACACTTAAAGCTTTTTCTTCACCAGCATTTCAGCCCCAAACAGATTCACCTGGCACATTTAGCTACAACAGCTGCAGGTGCACTGGAAAGGTCCTTGTCAGATTGGATGAGCTGTTGCCCTTCACTGTAATTGTTGATGACCTGTAAAGGAAACTCTTCCAGAGCTATCTTAAACAAATTATCTTAAACTAGACAAGAGAACTAGAAGAAATTTTTCTATCAAAATGTGACTTGAGAGTAGTTTGATACATTAGTTTTAATAAACTGATTTTCTTGCTGTATCACTCGACCTTTGTATGTTAGCAAGTACTTGAAAATTGTTCCTCTGGTGCCACAGACAATACACCCTCCTGCTTTTAGCTGTGGCTTGCAGAAAGCCTCGGGTAGGTGTGTGGCACAGCTTGCTCACCTGTCGTGGATGCTGCTGCAGCAGCTGGGTATGTCATAGGGAGAGCTGCCTGTGGAGCAGGAGAGACACGAGGAGCCTTGGCTGCAGTGCTCCAGCTGCCACGAAAGCAAGTTTGCCCCAAAGCCTTGCATCTCTATCATTTCACTGGTGTCTAGGGAAAAAAACAAAGAAAACAGCACACCATCAACCTGTTTTCTTCTTGCCCTCTCTTCCTTCTGAGCATCCCAATGGCTTCATGCTTTGCTTCTCAGCAGGCTCTGAACCTTGACTCAGAGAGGGCAGAGCACCATTCCAGTGACCTCAAACACTGCTCTCAGCACATCTAAACCAGCTGCATGCTGTGCACGATCACTCCCCACCAAGCCAAGTCACTTCACCATTTCCCTCTTTCTTGTTTGTGCACATCCCTGTTCATGTTTAAAGAGAACAGAGAAAAGGCTGCTGCAGTAACAACTAAAACTGGTTCTTGTGTAATGCTATGGTAATGCTATTTACAGACATATGGTACATATGGTAATGCTATTTACCATAAATAACATATGGTAATGTTATTTATGGCCAGGAGAGATCATCTAACCTGACCTTCTATTTAATTCAGGTCTCAGAATTTCATTTTGCAGTTCCTGGAATCAGCCATGTAACTGCTACTCCAGCTGGAGTGAAAGTTTGAGCACAAAAGAAACTACGACAAACTGACTCAGTTATTTTCAGATGTTTTTTCTCCTCTCTCAGAACCAGATCCTAAAATATTTAGCACAGAAGGACAGTTCAAGTCCTCCTAATGTGCACACTATGTTTGTAAGAGTAGAATACTCTGCAGGAAAACATGCTCCAACAGTAGAGTGCAGCTTCTGGAGTTATCCCTGCTCCACCAAATCTATTTATTTGCCTTTTCAACCAGCTTCAGTGAGGCAAGCCCCCAAAATCACCAGTTGCCTTCAGAAAGCTCAGCTTCAGCTCTTCAACCTCCCCAGCTGGCATTTGAGCTTGTGGGTTTTTTCTTTTATAATAAATAACTGGCCTTTCAGCTCACCCATGATTAAAATTAAGGCAAATGCCACAATACTGTGTCACTAAATTAACATTTGAAAGCAAAATCCAGTCCCCTGGGCCGTGCTTTTAAAATATATGTTTGTTGGGTGGTGGTAGGGGCAATTCCAAACCATCTCATGCATTTTAAATCAAGGTAGCATAAAACATTTTAGTAGTACCTATTAGAAGGTGGGCATAGGTGAGGAAGGAGTGGAGTAAAAACATTTGTTAACAGGAAAAGCACAGGCTCATGCGGAAGCAGTCACGTGTATTGCATTTCACAAAACAGTGTGATGCAAAAATGCTCTTCACCTTAATTCTTCAGGAAGGAGCTGAACGACCCAGTATTTATTGCAGCTTCTCATTGGGTTCAAATGTAAACCATTGGACAAACTTTTTTGGAGCATTATTTTTTGCCTCTCCTCTACAGACATGAAAAGTGGGTTTTTCAGTTTTATTTTTTTTTTGTTTTATTTTTTTAGAGAAACAAGGAAAGAACCCCACAGAACCTAAAGATTCAGATGAAAGGTACCTGAATTAGTGAAGAATTAGAGTGAACAGCATCTTTTATTTAATTGTAGTGGTGTTATCTGTAACTTCAGCTACATGCAAAAGTCGAGCATGTTGCAAAACGTGAAAGCAAATGGCCAGCAAACCTGCTACAGCAGTGTTGTCATTGCTGAGGGGGTGCTGCTGGAGAGACAAGGGCTGGGCCAGGCCCGTGCAGCAGGAACTGCTACAGAACCCTCAGAGCTGTTCCTGGTGCCACCATCACCTGCTGGGGTAACTGTGCACAGGCAGGACCCGACAGCTCCTCTGCTGGGATGCCCTAACATCTCCCACAGCCAGCTGAAGACTAAATTGTTTCTTATGCAGTTAATGTAGGTGTGTGGCAGTGTAAGACCTTCTCTTTTCTGTTATCACCATATCTACACAGGATCAGCTAAGAACACAAACTTCCTGGAACTGCCTTTTTTCCAAGGGGAACACTATTTTCTGAGTTTTTTTCCATCCATACCTTTTGAGAACTCTTCATTAACTTGGGCTGGGCTCTATCAGTTTCTAGGGCTTACTACCTTGGGATAAGTGTGTGGGCACCCTAGAAGAATCCTAGAGGATCTTCTTGAGTACAGGGTCATGTCCCCTCTCAAGAGAACTTAAGCACTACAAAAGTGCTGGGCACTTACTGTCTCCTACAGTCAGTCCCATCAGACCAGGGAACCAAAACCATTGCTCCACTATTTAGAAGTGTGAGTGTCTTATCAGGAGTCTAGATACACTGTGGTTTTCTTTGGAAGTAGAAATAGCAGAAAAAGCATGTTCATGCTAACGTATCAAATGAAGGACACAGACAAGAGCCAAACTTGCAAGCAGTTGTGGCCCTGTCTGCTTCCTCTGCAGATGTCAGCCTTCTGACAGCTACTACAGCCTGAAGACAGAGAAGGTTCTGTTCTTACTGGTGCACTCCAGGCAGTAGGAAGAGGTGGAGGCTGTTGCTTTGGTTCTAACAGGAGCACTCGAGAGGGATCGAGGCCAAGCCTGGCAGTGCTGAAGCTGTGGGGTAACTGGTAGGCCTAGAGCAGGGAGAGATTTCACATGAGCTAGTGGAGAGGCCTCGACAGCACCTGCCTGTGTTCTGAACAACTGCAAGCCTTGGAATCCAAGCAGTGCAGGAGGGCTCTGGCTGGGGCAATGGGTTATTCTGGACACCATTCAGCTTCCTCCTCTGAGAAAACAACAGCTTCTCAGCCTCCAGGACTACACTGCTAGATCCCAAATGCTTGCAATGCACAGACCTCCTGAGAATACCAACTTAATACATCTGTTGGGAATTACTTTCAGGAGAAAAATTAGAGGACAGATTCTCGGAGGGTGAGGAATCTTGCAGCTGATCATCTGAAACCTGCCAGAGTGAAAGCACCTGACAGCAGAAAGGTTCTGCATCCCCATGCAGTCTGATCTGCATGCTTCTGCTGCCTCACAGAGGTCTCCCAAGCCTGGGAGTGTGCATCCCTGGGCTGAAACTGTGATTCATACACTTCTGCCTTGTTCTGTCCACACGGGCACACTCCACTTCTGACTTTGCCCAGCTCATCACTGCTGTTGCTGTAATGGTTCAGTTCTCAGGCTCCCTGTGCAAGGCTGCCCTCCCCAGCCTGTTACATTGCACACAACCAGCTCACAGAGGGAGAACACAAAGACCTGTCACACTCCCTCTCCTCCTGTGATGAGAACCTGCTCTAGCATCCAGCTTTTATGAAGGCCTCTGGAAGGAGAGAAGGTTTGTCTGTCCAGCAGCACACACGCTCAAGGGAGAGGGAAGATGCCATTGTTTCCTCTTCCTGCAGGTTGTGAGCATATTCCCAGCCTCTCCATGCAGTCAGCTTCATCTCCAGATCTCATGGCACCACTGAAATGTTTTTCCCTCTCATAATGCCAACACTGTTGTATGCACCAGTGGAACGAGCTGCAATAGAGCTCTGGGACACAGGGGGAGGAGGATAAAAACCTTTCATCCTATTAGGAGCTGTGAGGTTCCGAGAGCAGATCATTGATAGCATTGCGTGTAGCTTATCTTCCTCCTCCTCATCATCGTCAACAGAGGTAGAACGGCTGGCAGCTAAGTGGTGGTAGTTAATAGTTACTGCTCAAAGAAAATAGTGAAAGAGGAGCATAAGAAGAGAGAACTCGATTCTGTGGGAAAGCTCAAAAGGACATGTTCAGCATAGACAAAGGACTTGAATCCTGCCCTCTGCCTGAGGGTGCAAGCTCCTGGAAATGCCTGTGACAAACGAGTTTCTTACAGGACAAACGCATGCTCCCCACACAGGGCAGCTCTGGGTGCACACAGGGCTCTGGATGCACACAGGGCAGCTCTGGGTGCACACACAGGGCAGCTCTGGATGCACACACAGGGCAGCTCTGGATGCACACAGGGCTCTGGGTGCACACAGGCCAGCTCTGGATGCACACATGGCAGCTCTGGGTGCACACAGGGCTCTGGGTGCACACAGGCCAGCTCTGGATGCACACAGGGCTCTGGATGAACACACAGGGCAGGTCTGGATGCACCACCAGGGTGGCTCGGGCTGGAACAACCGCGCAAGC